TAATATTAATGTCTTATGAATATAATAGAACTAATATTTATGTCTGTGAGGTGTACTGTTATATTTATATTATTAGTGAGTTATAAATTTTTGGACTTGGTGAGGTGTACTGTTATATTTAAATTATTAGTGAGTTATAAATTTGTCGTATTGATGATGTGTACTGTTATATTTATATTATTAGTGAGTTATAAATTTGTCGTCCTGATGAGGTGTACTGTTATATTTATATTATTAATGAGTTATAAATTTGTCGACCTGATGAGGTGTACTGTTATATTTATATTAGTGAGTTTTAAATTTGTCGACTTGGTGAGGTGTACTGTTATATTTATATTATTAGTGAGTTATAAATTTGTCGACTTGAGGTGTACTGTTATATTTATATTATTAGTGAGTTATAAATTTGTCGACTTGAGGTGTACTGTTATATTTATATTATTGAGTTATAAATTTGTCGACTTGAGGTGTACTGTTATATTTATATTATTAGTGAGTTATAAATTTGTCGACTTGAGTTCCTAGCTGCTTGGGTGGTAAACCATGGAGGCCTGTCCTCCTGAGGGATGAATCATACCACTCAATTGAGAGTAGGGTGATGGCATTCTGCAGGAGTCCTTGACATATAGCACTTCCTACCTCGGACCTGATGTTCAATTCCAGATTCTGCCAGGTTTTTGTTGGAGCACTAGTATTCCTGTCGATATATATCTGACCAACTGTTTTTTCCTTTTTTTCTACCGTGGTGTTCTTCCTTCCTACCATCCTCTGGATGTACATTCCCAATGGGTCTGTTTTTGGTTGGAGATGGCCCGGTCATGATTAGTATCATGCGTAGATAGTGTGATGCTCTTCCTACCACAGACCTGATGTACAGTTCCAGATGCCACCAGATTTTAGTTAAAGCACTCTACTTTGTCATAAATATATATATATATAATTGGAGTTTGCCTCTCAAGCTGAGATGTTTCTCCTCCCTACCATCCTCCGGATGTACATTCCCAGTGGATATGGTGATGGTTGGAAATGGTCCAGCTCAGTAAGTCCTCACATGTGTGCTGGCCAATATCTAATAGGAAGAGGGACCGTAAACCTGGCTGCAATAGGCACTGGATATCCTCCTCCTACTGTGGACTGGAAGTACTATACCCATTACCATCAGATTTTAGGCCAGTGATATCTTCCTACCATTTGCTGGATGTCTGTTCCCAGCAGATCTGGTGATGGATATGTTGGAATGCGTGCAAGTGGAGATGGATTTTGGAATGGAAGCTTGTCTTCCCTACCGATTTCTGTTTCAAGGTGAAGAGGTAGGTGATCCTCTACCTATCATGGATCTAATGTACCATCCCAGATGCTGCCAGTTATTGGATGAGGTTGAACTACCACTGTGGTCTGTCCCACCCT